GGCCAGATACTTGTCTTCCAAGTTTTCTGGCAGAGATGAGTGAGTGCCCCTTCACTTTCTTGAAAGATTTCAATTTCTATTCCATCAATTCCTGGTGCCTTATTCTTTGCCAATTCCTTCAACGCACCTTAGACTTCCAAGCCAATCAAATAGGAACAAAATAAAAAAAACCAAGCAAACTTCAATATTTTATATATGTGTGTGTGTGTCTCGTGCAGCATTAGGAAAATCTGCTGCACAAGACGTTTTTCAAGTGTTGAAGAGCAAATACGTCAGCTTGAGGACTAAGGTGCGCCTGACCCAAGCCATGGTATTTTCAGTAACCTCATATGCATGTGAAAGCTGGACAGTGAATAAGGGAGACCGTAGAAAAATTACTGCTTTTGAGTTATGGTGTTGGAGGAGAATACTGAAAGTGCCATGGGCTGCCAAAAGAACCAATAGATCTGTATTAGAAGAAGTGCAGCCCGAGTGCTTCTTGGAGGCCAAGATGGCCAAACTTCGTCTCTCATACTTTGGACATATTGTCAGGAGGTACCAGTCACTGGAGAAGGATATTATGTATGGTAAGGTAGAGGGTCAGAGAAAAAGAGGAAGACCCCCAATGCGATGGATTGGCCAAGTGGCAGCATCGATGGACACAAGCGTGGCAACAGTAGTGAGGCTGGCCCAGGATCAGGCAGTGTTTCGTTCTGCTGTGCATAAGGTCGCTATGAGTTGGTACTGACTCAATGGTACCTAACAACAACAATGTATTTATGTATATCAATATATCTGAAATTTATGTAGCATGAAAATAAATTATTAACATTGCTGTTGTTAAGTTCCGTCACGTCAGTACTGACTCAGAGCGACCTTATGCACCACAGAATGAAGCACTGCCAGATCCTGCACCAATCTCACAATCTTCGTCACGCTTGAGCCCATTGCTGCTGTCACTTGTTAGGAGTCTTCCTCTTTTTCACTCACCCTCCCCTTTACCATGCAAGTGATTAATATGGCAACTACAAATACAAGTTTAAATCCTCTAAGATCCCAAGGTAAGGAGATCTGTAAGTGTAGTGGATTATGAGCTGGGCTGAAGGTTAGCAGTTTGAATCTAGCAGCTGATATGAGGGAGAAAGATGAGGCTTTCTGCTCCTATAAAGATTTACAGCCTTGGAAACCCTGTACCGGGTGACTATGAGGTAGAGCTGACTCTACGGTGCACAAGCACCACCACTATCAAGGTCCCTAGGTAGCACAGGCAGTTTGTGCTAGAATGCTAATCTAAAGGTTGACGGTTGAAATCCACTCAGCTGTACTGAGGAAGAAAAGGCTTGGTAATCCACTGTACGGATCACAGTCAAGGAAACCCAACGGAGCCGTTCTACTCTGTAACCCATGGTGTCACCATTAGTCAAATCAACTTGATGGCAACTCACAACAACAAAGTTCAAGTATGAAAACCTTGGTTTAATTTGTACTTCTTCTGAAGTTGAGTTTTGAATAAATTTCCCCTGTACTATATACATCGTTGTTGTTGTTAAGTGCTGTCAAGTCTTAAGTTCGAATCATAGCAACTATATACAGGGTTTCCAAGGAGCTGCTGGTGATTTTGAACCACTGATCTTGCAGGTCAAACTGATGTTGAGGTTGAGTGCACAAGACTCAAAAATAGAGACTATCTAATAGAGTCATGGAGAAACTCTGTAGTACAGGGGCTTAAGTATCAAGATTGCAAACTGAAAGGTTCAAACCCACCAACCACTCCACGGGAGAAAGATAATCATTATAGTTTCAGAAACCTTAAGAGTTGTTCTACTTTACTCTTCCAGCGTCACTAAGAGTTAAAATTGACTCAATGACAGTGATTTTTTTTTCTTTCTTTCTTGGTATGAGTTTGAATAAACTTACAAGCAGTATGCACTGAGTGGGTATGTATTTCTTATCTTTTGATATTGTCATGATTGGAACAATCTTAGTTCCCAAATTCATTCATTTATTAGCATCCAATATATGGCAAGCACTACACTTAATACTGCAAGAAAACATCAGGAATGTTTAAGAGCAAGTCAAGAACACATATGGATGCATATCATATGACTATTTAAACTAAGCCTTAAACTAATAAGCACTAAATAAAATACGTTCTATCCTCTACACTTGACACATATACTTTCATAATGCTTTTTTTTTTCCTAAGTTCAAATTTAGAATTCTCATACTCCTCAAGGTGCTGAACAGAAAGCAGTAACATGGGGAGAGCCAGCCCCAGCTCCCTGACCCTCAGCACCCTCCCTGCTCTTTGAACCCTCAGCTCCATCCTATTACCTCAAAGGACCTCACATCCATGTGTGTACACATCCTGGTTGGCACATTTAGGCAACGTCCACAACTCCTGCAAAAGAGCTAGCTAGCACTTAGCTATCCCTCAGGCCTACAGGTATGCATACTAACGGATATGCAGACATGACCTCCCTTGAGAAGTAGAAACTTAAGGGGAAAAAAATCCGTACAAATCCTGGATGTGGATCTAGCGCCATGTGGACAAGGAATTCTGGAGTCTCAGGTAGCCCCAAATGTGCCAGACAGAAGGTTCTGAGTAGGTTTGTCTTGAACCTGAGAGAGTCTCACCCTACAGGGAGAGGGGCAGCCTGAAAAGGGCCAGGGCATGATCCGCTCCACTAAGGGCTCTCTTGCCTGATCAAAGGGTGACTATACAACCAATGGAGCTGTCTTTAGAGAGCGCACAGTGGGCTACGACATAAGTTGTTGTTGTTGTTGTTGTTGTTATGTGTTGAGTCGATTCTGACTCTTAGAAACCCTGAATAGAGTTTCTAATAAGGAGCAGAGGCTAGGTTTGAATCAATGACCTTATTTATGGTTAGTAGATCAGTGCTTATCCTACAGCACCACAACACGACTCCTAAGATGTTAAAATTGTTGTTGTTAAGTACAGTTGAGTCCGTTCCAACTTATAGCACCCCTTTATAGGGCTTCCAAGAAACAGCTAGTAGGCTTGAACCACTGACCTTGTGATTAGTAGTTCAGTGCTTATCCTACAGGGCCACACCAGGGTGTATAAATGCTATGAATCATTCCTCTAGTTAAGAATTACAGAATACAATCTATTTTAAGATTATGTTGTGTGCCATCTAATTTATTCCAACTCACAGAGACGCTAAGTAGGGTTTCTGAGGCTTTAAATGTTTGTGGGCACAGAAAGTCTCATCTTTCTTCCATGGAGCGGCTGGTGGGCTAGAACTGCCGACCTTGTGGTTCATAGTCCAATGCCTATCTTATGGAACTACTGGACTCCCACATACATAAGGTAAAACTAACACTTGGGTGGGGAAATATCCTGTGCTAAACAACTGAAGCCTGAACTTTAGCAATCATATTTTGCTTAGATCAAACATACATGCAAACATTAGACTATATTTGCCTCTACTATATCTGTACAAGGAGCTCTGGCAGCGCAGTGGTTACGAATCAGGCTGCTAATCTCAGGGTCAGCAGTTTGAAACTACCAGTTGCTGTGCTGGAGAAAGATGAGGGGTTCTACTCCCGTAAAGATTTATAGCCTCGGAAACCCTGTAGCTATGAGTTGGAACCGACTCCATGGCACATAACAACAGCAACAATGTCTCTACACATGGGATATCCTAGTAAAGTAATTGTTGAGTGTGAGTTTTGGCAAGTTACTTCCCTCCTAAAATATTTTTATAAGTGAAATCAAGACACACCTGAGAAGGTGTACAGACAGAAAATGGACAGATTTTTTTTTAAAGTGGAGATAAGAGGGAGAAGGAATTTCTAAACATATGTCCACAGATGTACAAAAATTCAAGACTTGGGCTTCTCTTGTCTACCTTTCCCTGTCTCCATCTCCATCAAAAACAAAAAAAGCTGGTGAGCTCACTAATTTCCATCTCTTTTTCACACCTGCTTGATGCTTCTCTAATTATTATAAAACCCAGCGCCACAGAGTCAATTCCAACACTATAAAGTGACACTTTACAGGATTTCCAAGGCTATAAATCTACAAGGGAGCAGAAAGCCTTATCATTCTCCCATAGCTGGTGGGTTTGAACTACCAACCCTGAAGTTAGCAGCCCGATGTATATGCTACAGTGCCATGGGAATATCCCCCACCTCCCAGTCTGCATCTCTAAGGCCAGTTCACTGAGAATTAAATAAGACAGACGGAATGAGAGGTCAACTTGAAAGCCAGATCAAAGACTATGGATCTCTGGGATAAAATATCCCTTTGGATAATAAGTACCTTCTAACTTAAAAATTATTCAGAGAATGATTTTAAAATGAAGAAATAAGTATGATAATCAAAGTCAATTCTAGGTCGGAGTCAGATAAAAAAAAAAAGATCCAGGCTATATGATTGATCCTAAGGGGATAGGGGGAGTCGGAAGAGTACTAATAAGTTTTCAAGAGACCTGACATTAGCCAGGTTCTTTTTTCAGCTCTTTGATTATGAACTAAAGGAGTACTAGTATGGAACTGTAGGATAAACACTTGACTGCAAAGTCAGTATGAACTGCAAGGTCGGTGGTTCAAATCCATCAGACACTCCTCGGAAACCTTAAATAGGGTTGCTATGAGCTGGAACCAACTCAACAGCACTAATGACAATATTATGAATTAAAGGAGTCCTGGTGTAGTGCTGTAGGATACGCGCTAGACCTCAAGATTGGTTTGAACCTCTAGGTTGGCTGTTGAAACTCACCGGCTGCTCCTAGGAAACACTATACAGGGTTTCTGCTCCCTTGTAGATTTATACTTAACAACAGCAACAATGATGAATTAAAGCACATCCAAAGTAGATTCACTTTAGACTTACACACCATATGCTTGGAAACTAATGATATTTGCAAACAAAAGACCAGGTTCTTAGTATCATGTCATATGTAGCAGAGTAGACTAGACAGAGATAAGATGAATTTTATGTGGACACTGTGATTGTAGTATTCACTTTAGAACTCAGCAGACAAATGCTTATACTAAGCACCAAAAACCTCCCAATCTAACTCACCTGGACAAAAAAAATAAAGTGCTTGAAAGATGTATTGAGATGTGCTTCCTCCTGAAGTTGGATCACAGGATCAAAATGCTGATGATAAATGTGAGCATATACCCTAAAGAGGCGTTTGAGTATTGTTTTTGCCACAGACATGAAATTCTTCGGGAACGGGACACCTATAAATAGATAAACAACCCTTCTATTAATGAAACAGGACAACAAGGTAGTATGAGTTTGTCAGCAAATGGCAACGTAATTACAAAGACAAGAATGAAAAGAGGAAATATTTATGAAGTTACAGCTTTATATACCCAATGTTTCTTTTAGAAGTTCCCAATGTATCATGCATCAAAATTTTAATACAATAAGAGCTAGTCTTCATTATAGCCCTTTATGGTTCATGGAAGAAGTACAGTCAGAATGCTACTTAGAAGACAGGATGGCAAAACTTCACCTCACATACTTTGGACATGCTATCAGGAGGGACCAGTCCCTGGAGAAGAACATCATGCTTGGTAAAGTAGGTGGTGGTGGTTATATGCCATGGAGTCGGTCCCAACTCATAGCAACCCTGCATAGGATCTCTGAGGTTGTAAATCTTTACAGAAGAAAGCCTCATCTCTCTCCTGTGAAATGGCTGGTAGTTTTGAACTGCTGACCATGAGGTTAGCAGCCTGACTTGTAAACACTATGCTACCAGAACTTCTTTGGTAAAGTAGAGGGCTGGCTAAAACAGGAAAAGCCTCAATGAGATGGACTGACACAGCAGCTGCCACAATGGGCTCACACACAGCAATGACTGTGAGAAAGATGAAGTGGTTTGTTCTATTGTACAGAGGATCACTAAAAGTGACTCAGCATCACCTAACAACAACAGCACGCTTCTACTAGAAAGCACTACTTTACTTGAAAAGAATCTGATAAATGCATAAGCCCAAACCAAACCCATTACCACTGAATTGATTCCAACTCATAGCAAGCCTTTAGAACAGAGTAGAACTGCTCTATAGGGTTTCCAAGGCTATAAATCTTTAAAAAGCAGACTATCACATCTTTCACCATGGAGTCACTGGGTGGGTACACACTGCCAACCTTTCAGTTGGCAGCTGAGCACTTTAACCACTGTACTACCAGAGTTCCTTCTAAGATGGTGGTTATATGCTGTGGAGTCGGTTCCAACTCATAGCGACCCTGCACAGGGTTTCAAAGGCTATAAATCTTTACAGGAGCAGAGAGCCTCATCTTTCTCCCGTGGAACTGCTGGTAGTTTCAAACTGCTGACCTCGAGGTTAGCAGCCTGACTCGTAACCACTACGCTACCAGAGCTCCTTTCCTAAAGCAGTAGTGGAATTAGAACTCATGCTCAGATCCTCAAATTTCTTATCAAGTTTGAATGCAAATATTTGCTGAACTCAAATAACACATTAACCATTTCACAATTTTACTTAAAGTGCTTATAACATATTTTCATACTTTTTACTATTGAAATTATTCCCTTCCTACCCAGATCTAAAAGGAGTCCTGGAAATACAGTGGATTATGCGTTGGGTTGTTAACCTCAAGGTCAGCAGTTCAAATGCACCTGAGGCTCTTCGATAGAAAAATGAGGCTTTCTGCCCCCATAGAGATTGATAGCATCAGAAACCCTAAACCGGGTTGCTATGAGTCATAACTAGCTTGACAGCATACCACCACTACTCCAGGTCTACACTTGGTCTGGAATTAACTATAGTCTTTGTTCAGTTGGGCTCACTGTTTTCTGAATTAAGAGTACATCTACAGAACTATACAAATATGAAACTAGAAAAATCTAAAATCTCATATCCATTGTTAAGAAGGCTAAACAAACCAGACTGGCAAAGCACAAGTCAAATACTGGCACTTTTTGTTAATCTTCGCCATCAACTTGATTCCAACTCACGGACACCTCATGTGTGTCAGATTAGAATTGTGCTCCACAGGGTTCTCAATGGCTGAGTTTTTCTAAAGGATCACCACACCTTTCTTCCGAGGTGCCTCTAGGTGGACTTGGAAATGCCCAACCTTTTAGAAGATTTTGGTTGGTAGTCTAATACCATTTGTCCTACCCAGGGACTTAATTTAAAGATATTGTACATCACAAAGAAACACAGGATAAAACTAAATAAAAGGGCATTCTAAAATGGACCTACACTCCTCAAAACTGTGTCATTAAAAACAAAAAAGATGAAAGTGCCCATATTCAGATTAAAGAAGGCCAGAAACATGATATGAATTAAAATGAAAATCAAAGATTTTCTTTTGCTGAAAAAGATATTGGGAGAATGTGAGGAATAAGTAAAATGCTTAGGTTAGATAAGAAGTACTGTAACAGCTTATTTACTGATTTTGATACTGTGATTTTCTAAGGAAACAACATACTGAAGTTTTTACAAATAAAGAGGTAGTCCTAGTGTGGTGCTGTGGGTTAATGCGCCAGACTGCAAAGCCATTAGAACTGCAAGGTTGGCAGTTCAAGCTCACCAGCTGCTCCTCGGAAACCCTATATAGGGTCACTATGGGTTGGAATCGACTCAATGGCACTTTAACAACAAGAAGTGCGAAACTTACTGTCAAACAGCTCAGGAAAAACTGGGAGTATTAAGCAGACTTTAAAGTTTGTGGACATCCCCTGCCCCGCTCACTGCTAGCCCGGGCCCAGCGCCACACAACTTGTGTATCCCTCCACAGATGCTTAACACTTCCAAAGCACAGTTCCTGGGAGATTTCTACTTAGTCATCACCTTCTAGGAAAGGACTTCCTCAGTTTGGAGCTAACTCTCTTGAGGCATTCTAAGGTGTCAACACCAGGCGTCGCAGTACTACCACCCCCACACCCCCAAACCTGTGTTCCTTGGCGGGCCTCCCTCAGGTCTGAATGCAGGCTGTGGTCTGGCTGCATGGGACCATGCTGGCGCTTGGCACAAGGCCTTTGGACCTGCTTCCCATGGAGCAGCAGCCTTCTCAGTCTGACTGACCAAGGTTTCCTCCCTGCACTGCACCCTTGGGTGACTGCTGCCCAGGACACCTATAGTTATGCACCTGGATAGCTTCTATGGTGGGGTCGACCCAGCACACACAGACCTGAAACCTGCTCAACTGGGGCCACTTGCAGAAGGAAATGCCTGTCTACGCTCAACAAAGAGCTTCAAGATCGTATCATCCAAAAGACCTTGAATGAGTGGAGTTGCCAAATCAGTTCAGAATTGGTCAGGGAGTTTCCAGATGACTTGGAATGTACTTCATCTCATGCAATGGAAAGGACACAGTCCAATAAAAGAAATAAAAGTTGTTCACTGTAGGATCAAATTCTTCACCATCAACTAAGAAAGCCAATTAACATGGCCTGTTCAGTCCTTGGAGTTATACACCTGAATTCTATGACCACTGCTTCACCTCCTACTGAAGATGGTGTTATTCTTTCCTAGAAGCACTTGCAGCCTTACTGGGAGGAATTAGAAAATCTAGTTAAAAGTAAAAAGGCTGTTGCTATAGGTTACTGCTGACCTAGACAAAACACAGTTGCAGCGGCTATATCAGTGGACACAGGTCAAACGAAATAACAATCAAGTTAATCTTGCTTCCTGCTGTGGGATGCCACCTGATTTTGCTGCATTTGCTAAATAATCTGATATATCACTCTTAACTCCTAATGATCCAAAAGAACTGTTCTCTGAAGCAGGTTTCCAAGAAGCTCGTCAGGAAAGCATCCTGACATTCAAGCACATGCATGGGTTACCACCCTGGCTACCATGGGATTCTTCTCATTGTTAAAACCCGTTGTTGTTGCTAAGTGCTGTAGCGTCGGTTTCTATTCATAGCAACCCTGTATAGGGTTCCCAAGACACATGTGGTGGATTTGAACTGCCAACCTTGCAGTTAGCTTGTTGTTAAGTGCCATCCAGTCAGTTTGGACTCACAGCAACCCTGTATAAGGTTTCTAAGTAGCTGTTGGTGAGTTTGAACAAACAACCTAGTAGTTCAAACCAACCTTACAATCAAGTGCTTATCTTATAGTGTCATACCAGGACTGTGATTAGTAGTTCAGTGCTTATAAGGAATTAATCAAAAAGCTACATTTTACAAGCTAAGAGAAAGGGTTCTTAACTATGACTTATGGTCATAACCTACTCACTTTGTCTTTTCCTTGAATATAAGATAAAATCCAGAGATGTAAAAATCTAAATGGTGTCTTTAAGGCAGATATTTGTCAGTTATAAATGACAATTGTTGTCTGCTAACTATTAAATACTTGTATTCTTATTAATTCACATGAACTGTTGTATTGTTTTATTAAACAATAGTTTTCTAATTTAAATTATTAATAAATAAAATACAATGTATTTGCATTTATTTATATGATTAACAGAAATCAAGGAAATTGTGTATTTTGGCCTGTGTATCAGGGTAAGTATATACATATTTTTAATTTTTAAAAGTTCATTAATTGTTTCTTACTTTATTGTCTAAGGAGCCCTGGTAGCATAGTGGGTTACTCACTGGGCTGCTAACTGCAAGGTCATCAGTTCAAATCTACTAGCTGCTCCATGAGAGAAAGATGAGGCTTTCCGCTCCAATAAAGATTTACAGCCTCAGAAACTCTAAACAGGGTCATTACGGGTCAAAACCAACTCTATGGGATATAACCACTACTGCCACTTTGTCTGGAGTCCCGGTGTGGTGCTGTGGGTTAATGTGCGTTAGACTGCAAAGCTGTTTGAACTGCAAAGTCAGTGGTTCAAGCTCACCATTCACTCCTCGGAAACCCAATACAGGGTCGCTACAGGTCGGAACCGACTCGACGGCACTTAACAACAACAACCACTTTGTCTAAGCAATTTAATAACATTTGTTAAAACTGAAATACTAGAAAATATTTTTCCTGTCATTGAGAACATATCTCAGAGTTCTTACAGTGGGCAGGATCTACTAGTAAATAAAATTGATTTCTTCAATACAATGAATGCAAGACTAAATTTTTATGTGCCCTTTCTTGAAGTTTACCTGTAATAATTTAACTTTGTATGCTACTGCCATATTTTTTCCTTGTTATTATTTACAAAGACAGACCAAAGTAACTTTTAAAATGAGACTAAAAAAATTTGAAATCTTTCTTTGGAGATTTTATAAAAGAACTCCATCAGCTCCAGATTCTTTTAAATTTGTAATTCATCTTTTAAATTTGTAATACTTTGCTACTCATTCAAGAATATTCAAGAGGTTTTGAGCATTTCACATGTGTTTCACATTTTGGACTCTGGCGACAGTAGGGGAAGTAGGAGTAGAGAGCCAAGGATTAAGAGTCAATGAAGTAAAATATATGAGGTAGCGTAGTGGTTACGAATTGGGCTGCTAACCTCAGGGTCAGCAGTTCAAAACTACCAGTTGTTCCGTGGGAGAAAGATGAGGCTTTCTGCTCCCGTAAAGATGTACAGCCTTGGAAACCCTGTGCAGGGTCGCTATGAGTGGGAACCGACTCCACGGCACATAACAACAACAACTCACTAATAGACGATTCTTGTTGTCAGGTGCCCTCGAGTTGGTTCCAACTCAGCGACCTTATCTACAACAGAACTAAACACTGCCCAATCATACGCCATCCTCACAATCGCTGCTACACTTGAGCCCACTGTTGCTGCCACTCTGACAATGTATCTCATGGGGTCTCCCTCTTTCTGTCTGTCCCTCCACTTAACCAAGCATGATGTCCTTCGCCAGGAAATGATTCTTCCTGACAGTATGTCCAAACTAAGAGAGAAAAAGGTCTCACCATCCTTGCTTCTAAGGAACATTCTAGCTGTAGTTCTAAGACACATTTGTTTGTTCTTCTAGCAGCCCATGCTATTCTCAATATTATTCTACAACACCATAATTTAAATGCATCAATTCTCCTCTGGTCTTCCTTATTCATTGTCCAACTTTCACATCCATATGAGGTTACTGAAAATACCATGGCTTGGGTCAGACGCACCTTAGTCCTCAAACTGACATGTTTGCTCTAAAACACCTTAAAGAATTCTTTTACCGAAGATTTGCTTATTGCAAATACATTGTTTGATTTTTTGACTAATGCTTCCATTGAGCGTTGATTGTGGATCCAGGCAAAACGAAGTCTCTGATAACTTCAATCTTTTCTCTGCTTATCATGTTACTTATTGGTCCAATTGTGAGGATTTTTATTTTCTTTACATTGAAATGCAATCCTAAGCATAACCCTAACAATAAACGAAGTCCTAGGCCTAACCTAGACCTAACCATAGTATCAACTCTAACCCTCACTCCTTACTCCTACATACTTCAACTGCTCCCACTCCAAAAAGCCATCTTCGACTGGAAATAAAATCAATGACATTTTAATCTGGAACATCATAAAAAAAATTTAACAAAATAAAATGATTATCTTAAATCAGGAAAAGTAGGAAATTTTTTAAGTATGCATTTAAAAATGCTAAGTAAAATGGGGGGTGGGCAATTCCCACAGGACAACTTGCTTATTTCCTATTTTACCACTGGGAAAAGGAACTTTTGTGCCTCTTCTTGGGAATTTCATAATACATCACAGCCCTACAGACCTCTCCAATGGAACCAGAAAGGTGGGAGGGAAGGAGGAGAGACTATTCTAGAAACACATAAAATCAGATAAAACATAGTGGATTCCAATTATACAAAACTCCTTATACCGATTTTTGATGGAAATAACGTCTCATCATCCAATTGGTCCTGAACCCAAGTCATCAAGTAATCAATATATTTTGGTGCAGAGCACTTAATAGGTTTCTTGATGTTTGTTCCATCTGCCCAATGATACTCATATCTGCATTGGAAAGATAAAAACCACATGGAATATTAGTTATATATTTTAATTTTTATATTGTTTATATAGATATATATGAATGACATGTTTTAAGCCATCTGATCTCCCAATTAAAGATGCATTTTAAAACACCAAGGGGCTGTTTTATATTTACCACGATCCAAATTATCCTATTCCATCATACACATTTTTTGGTATTTCTATGCTCTATTCACATCTTTAATTTTCTTAATTAACTTTCCTTCATATATAACATCTAGAATCATATAATGTCATACTAGAAAAATGAGTTTATTTCCCAGTTGTATGATGACCATATTTGAACTTCATTATTGTTTTCCTTTCTTGAAAAATATTTCTCCTCATGCAGTACAATTATTTTATAGTTGGGGCCTTTAAAATTTAAGGGTAGTGAATAAGAGACTCCAAAGTAAAAGGAATAAGGAGAATAACTCAATATTTGAGTACATTTAACTGAGGAGCTAAATATGCCTTTAAAGAAAATTGGTAACAAATAAATATATCTGTAGGTTCTGGGTACAGCAAGGTTGGTGGTTCAAACCCATCAATCGCTCTTTGGAAACCCTATACAAGGTCACTGTGAGTCAGAACTGGCTCAATGGCACTTAGTAACAACAGAAATCCACTGGTTAAGTAAATGTTTAATGTATTAAGTAGTACATGAGAGATAAGAAAAAGGAATTCAAAAATGAAAGGCGGGGGAGGACTTCTGGCAGTTCCCTGACCAGGCAGCTCAGGTAGGGCAGCCTTGGGGAAAAGGGGCGGAATCGCATATAAGAAACCTCTGTCTAGCATACAGACAGCCTTTGAACAAACATAAGATCTTATATTTCAACATTCTGAACTCGTTTTTTTTTTTTAATTGCTGAGGAATTACAAGCATTTTTGAGCTTTTGCCTGCCTGCACGCGGCTCCCACTTCTGCACCCACACCTGCGAGTGCCTCTGCCCCCTGCAAACCTTGGAATGCAGGGCTAGAGCAACCCCACTTAGAAGGCTGCATTTTCAGAGAAAAGGAAGCATAAACGAACAAAGCTGAACAAATAGAGAGGGATATCGGCACGGAATCAGGAAATATGGGGTACCAACGGTACAGAGAGACTGAGAGAGGCATTTTTTGCGTCATCAAATACGGACTCTACCTCCCTGCAGCCACGACCCCAGCCCTCTACTGCCCAGGCCAACCAGCCCTCTGCCAAGCCACTGAGGCCAAGGCCCTCTCAAGGCCCAGACACTCCCACTAAGGCCAAGGCCTGCCCTGATGCCCAACCTGCCCACAGACTGGACCACGTAGCCAGGTTGCTGAGGCCCAGGGCTCCGTAGGCCCAACCTGCCGCGTAGCCCGGTTGCCAAGGCCCAGTGCCCCTGAGACCCAACCCACCCTCAGCCCGGTCCCGGAGGCACAGGCCCCCGAGGCCCAATCCGCCCAACCCGCCCTCTAAGGACCAAGCTGCCCGATGCCCAGCTGCTGATACTCAGGCCCCCTGAGGCCCAAACCGCCCGAGGCCCAAACCACCAGCCTGAGGTCCAAACCTCCTGTAGCCCGGTCGCTGACGCCCTGGCCCTGAGGCCCAAATCACACGTCCTAGACTCAACCCTCCTGCCCAAGGCCCAAAAAAGTTACTCTGAGTTAAGCAATAAGGAGAGTGAAAAGGGAAGAACATATCCTGATCACATCTTCCTGGAAATAATCAGAAAACTTAAAAAAATTCCCAAAACACATACTTAATTAATTATTAGGGTCACAGATAAACATTAAACATGTCCAAGAAGCAAAAGCAGATGACCATATCGGCACATGTCCAGAAAAAAGAAAATATCTGAGACAAATTAACCAGAAGTAGACCTTCTCTCCATGCTGGAAAGAGGGCAGGCCTTGGAGAAACCTGAGAAAGAATTCAGAAAAATGATTATAAAATGTCTCAAAACACTTTACAATGGATTTCAGAAAAATAAGGAAGAAGTCAGAAAAGCGCTACAGGAACAATCAAACAAGATAGATACAGCATTGGTAACAATCCAAAACCTACAGAAAGAGTTTCAAACAATCAACAACAAAATGGCAGAAATAGAAAACTCCCTGAAAGGGCAGAGGAGTAAATAGATGAGATGGAAGGAAGAATCAGTGAGCTGGAAGACAAGTCTCTCAATACCACTAAGATAGAAGAACAAATCCAAAAAAAGGTAAAACATTCAGAGGAAGGTCTAAGATTCATGTTGGACAACATGAAGAGGAATAACCTAAGAATTATTGGCATTCCAGAACAAAATGAGTCACACAAGTCCACAGAGGAAATAGTTGAAGAACTACTGGAAGAAAATTTCTCTAACATCCTCAAGGGTGAAAAGATAGAAATTCAAGAAGCCCAAAGAAGTCCAGGGAGGGTGGACACCAAAAGAAAATCACCAAGACATATCATAGTCAAGCTCTCCAAACTCAAAGACAAGGAGAAACTCCTGAAAGCAGCAAGAGAAAACAGAGGGGTCACATACAAGGGCAAACAAGTCAGACTAAGCTCAGACCTCAGAGCAGGAACCATGCAAGCAAGAAGGCAATGGGGAGACATATATAAAACCCTGCAAGAAAAAAATTGCCAACCAAGAATCATTTATCCAGCAAAGATATCAATCAAATATGAGGGTGAAATCAAAACATTACAGGATAACCAGACGCTATGGGACTTCACCAAAGCCAACGCTGCCATACAAAACATCCTAAAGGGAGTTCTGTGGACCGAGAACCAACAAGAACAGACAACAACCAGAGACTGACGTACGTGGCAGCACCTCCCTGAATTAAGTCAACAGAAAGAAGAAATGTTAACAAAACAAAACTATAAGAACAAACTGGGAGACTCTGGAAGGGCAGTCTATGACCAAAACAAGTACAATGCAAAAGAAGGTGAACACATAGGAACAGAGATCCAAACAATGAGAAGGTTAGGTAGATTAAAGGATAAAACAGACTGCACTAAATGGACAGAGAATTCAATGGACCATTAGGCAAACTCAAAGAAAATTAACACATCACAGCATACCAAGAGAATGAGAATGCAAGAAGAATATGAAAACATTAAAACTATAAGGAAATGCA